GAGAATTCACACAATGAAGAAAAAATATTACAAAGAGGATTTGATGATGTTAGGCAGTCAATAAATATTTAGTAAAATGTTAAAACTGTTTTGGTTCAATGTGAATGAGAGAGTTGGGGAATTCTCATGGCAGGGAAATATTGTGGTCATATGAGAACACACTGAGTGCTTGTGGGCACAATAAAGGAAGGAGGTGGTAACCCAATTGGGGGGAAAAAAGTTACAGAGTGTGTTATGTTAATGAAGGCTTTCAAACAAAAACAAGCCTTTTTAAATCTCAAATTAAAGGAGTTTGAGAATAACATCCAAGTAGACAGAGCAGTAAAATTAAAGGCATGGAGGATAGAGAGAGCATTAAGGAACTGAGAACATGTGAAGCATCATGTTCAAGATTTCTAGGAAAGAAGCTGTATCTAAGAAGTGAATCAGAAAGAGCTTATTAAACCTTCTAACGCTTCATCTCGTCTACCATTTCAATTTCCACTTTTCTTTTTTATTATTTCTCTGTACCTACAAAGAGATGAGAGCTATATAGAGATATGAATGTAGATCAATATAGATGTAGATAATAAGTCATTCATAAGTAGGTATAGCATACATACTATACATAATCTACATCTGTACACATTCTATTTTTACGATGTTTATTATCTTTAGTAGAATATAAGCTTCATAAGGGCATAGACTCCTTTTAGTTTGTTTTACCACTCTACGCCTATAAAATAGAAGAATTCCTATTATATAGAGGGTACTCAATAAATTTTTAATGAATAAATGGATGACTAACTAAATAAGTGAATAAATACAATTAGATAGAATTTTTACTTTACTCAGACAACAGAGCCAGTGAAGGTATTTTCTTCTAGCTTATCTCTGAGTCAGTTCCTGAACTATCCTCCTCCATCAGTTGTGTGGATACTAATGCACACCCTGAACCATAACCTCTATGTTAAGATTGTCTATTAAAAAAAAATTGGTGGCAATCCTTCCTTTGTTGATGGACTGGTTAGTTTTCGCTTTTGAGCACCTCTTATCATTTGCATTATTCCTGCAGATCTATCTGTTCCCAGTTCACACTTTCTCCATGTCAGGCTCATGTGGCACTAACTTACTGTTGTTAAAACAGTCCTGAACAATCAGTGACACAAACTAAATCTATGATCACCAGGATTTCAGCTCTGAGACGCCATCTGCTTTGTTTAACACTGTACCTCTAGTGCCTAGCCCAAGACCCAGGCAAGAGATGTGCTCAATAAATGCCTGATGAATAAATGAGTAAATGAACAAACATTTGCTGATCTATTTTACTATGCAAAAGACAGGAATTAATAAAAATCACTGAAAGGCTTATCACAAGTTTGATTTTCCTTGGAAGGACAGGCCTAAATGATTGTTTTGAATTATTAATTTCTTAATTATAAATATATTATCTGATGTTAAATTTCGTATAATTTTAATGAATTACAAAGTTTTACATTATGAACATTGATTGATTTTCAAAATTTTATTTTTATAAATATCAGTCAACCAGAAATAATAGTGATTGATTTTCTAAAAGATGATTTAAAAAAGATTTTTATCTTTGGTAAAACTAGAGTGGAGATTTAGAAGACATTGAAACATTAGATTTACATTCTTCAGAACATAGTTTTAAATTTATAATACTATATTTTTAGTTTGTAGCAGTTTATATAGCTTTAGCTCCATTAAACTTAAAGCTGCATTTAGAGTTATCTAGCAGATTTTTACCTTTAAGTTTGCTAATGTGGAACTACTTTTTCAATGATCTAGTATTTTTTAACATTAATACTGCTAATACTAGAGGTATTTTGGCATTATCCTATAGTTTTGAGATTATGACCTTCCTTGAAAATATCTGATAACTGCCGTTTAAAAATGTTTATGATTCTGCCATTGAGCATTTTATTTCAGATGCTCAATTCATAGACCCATTCATAGACTTATTCATGGAACACTTAGGTGACTATTTTTCCATTATTTCTGAAAGCATACAACTTAACACTTTTTCTCTTACTTTTGACAATTCTTTAAATTTAATGTTAAAGAAAATTCTCAATTGTGATGGTATGACTGTGGAATAAGCACAAAATCTGCATAAAAATATATTTGCCTCCAATTTGATAAATTTTGTAAGTTCACTTTTGTGTCAATTCAAAATTTGATTTGCAGTGTTATCACTTCTAGTTAATGTGCCTTTTCCAATAAGTATTGAAGATTTCATAATAAGATATGTGATAGATTTTGCTGTAATATGACTGACTTTGTAGGGGCTTAAATATACGTTATTTCCTGTTTTCTGAAGAAAAATTTGTGGAACAAAATTCTCAGTGACTCAAATTTGGGCATATGCATTTACTTATATTGATAATCACAGGCCACACTGCACATTGTAGGCACTCAGGAAACATTTTCTTTACTCAGAAACCATTTCAAGGATATTATGCAGTTCACAAATGTGTATGCGTCTCTATTTGTATTTATATACACACACATGCTTAAAATGTCACTTGGAAAAATCAACTTGGGATGTGTGTCCTGCATACATCATCTTCATTTTAAATTTCTATAATTATTTTGAGGTATAAAATATATCTGGTTATAGCCTGAGGGAAACTCACACAGTGCCTGCCCTCTCACTGGGGCACATCTTTCCCCAAATGACAGGCAGATCTGTCACAGAGTGTGGTGATTTATCTCCTCTGATTTCATCCCGTAAAGACGCCCTATACAAGGTGAAGTGATAATTTTCCTCAGAGTTAACATGTCCGATGTCTCATTTATCATTCTAGTCCTTGTGAAATGACATCGAACATTAAATTGAGAACTAATTTTGGTTGTGAAGTTTGGCTGCCTGCCTGCTTCTCTGAGAAAACAAGCAAATTATCTGTACTTTTTGTCACGGAAGTCATACGTCACCTGGAGCCGTCCTTTCTTTCTTTTAACCCATGTTGAGAAGCAACAGAAAAGAATACATGAAAGACACTATAACAAAATAATACATTTTGCCAGAAAAAGTTATCAAAATTATGCAAAATGTTTAATTTGTGGGAGCGGGGGGGGGGGAACAGTGGACAAGTCAGGGGAGATCCTAGAGGAAGCCTGAGAGTATATATGGTGGCCTTAACTCAAAAATATGCAATTAATTCCCTGTAACTTTTGATATAGAAAGAATGTAATTCTACAATTTTCTGAAAGTAAAATTTCTACAAATCAACATATTATTTTCATACAGCAAGAAACTTGTTTGTAAGTACTTGCCTGAAGTTGGAGCACAATTTTATAATTTGTTTTCTAAGTGAACTTATTCACGCATAGAATCAAGACATTCAACTGGATCGTGTGGTTGGGTCGAGAAAACATCTATCTGCTGAACTTTTAATTTTACCTTACATAATTAAGAATTTTCCCCGAAATAAAAGTGATCATAGACTGTAATTTATCGGATAAGTCTCACTGTTGTGAGAAACTTAGACATAGGGAATCTATATACATTTAACAAGTCACATAAAAAGAAGTTAAGAATAGAGGAAGGTTGTGCTTTTTAAAGAATATGATTATTTTATAAAGATAGATATACTAAGGGTATATGCACATAGTTGAATTGAATGTAAATTTATTCACTCATTTCCTGTTTGCCTAAAGAACACTCTTGTCTCTAATCCTAAAGTATTATCTGTTAGAGAAATGTATGCCATGCTGCATTCTGTGATGGAATATGATGTTGTATTCTGTAACAGAGATGTATGTGATGTTACATTAGGATTAGGGATAAGAGTATTCTGTAACAGGAATGTATATAATGTTACATTAGAATTAGAGACAAGTTCTGCTTAGAAATAACTCCAATAACAGTTTCATATTTTATTTTCACAGTGAAAAATCAGTCAGATTTGCTTAAGCCTCAAAATGGAGTTATGTAAAATTAAATGAACATTGGCAGCAAGTTGCACTTTTTTTTCTCAATGGAAAATGGGTTAAATAAATATTGTCTATAAATTCTGCAAGTCACTCCTGTGAGCCCTGACATTATGAAGCTTATAACCTAAATAATCTACCTACTGATAAAAATGAATATAGAAAAAAGTATAGTAATAAATAATGTCTATTGAAAGCTTGCTATTGTCTGGTATTAAATACAATCAATGCTTTACATGAATTATTTTATTTATTCCTTTCACTCTCTCTTTGAAGTAGAAACTGTCATTTGTATCATTTTATGGTAGAGGAAAATAAATCATAAAAAAGAAAAATAATTTTCACAAAGTCTTAACAACTAGTAAGTGATGGAGTCAGAATGCAAACCTGTCTCGAGCATGCATTTAGTAATCTTAGACTAATAAAATGCAAAGTATGTTAAGTACTTATAAGCATCTAGTAGCGCAAAAGAGAATAGAGATACTTCTAGAGAGGGATAGAAGAAAAAGTGGCATTTCAGCTGCAATTTAAGGAGGTAAAATTTCTTCAAGCTGGGATATGAAAAAAGAAAGTTACTTCAAGAGAATATAACACTCTGAACAAAGGCAAGTAAAGAGGAAAGGTCTTACTTTTCATAATAACAAGTTTTCTAGACTGTCTGGAGCATAAGATTCAGGCAAAGTATTTGAAGGGAATTAAGCCTGGAAAAAAAAAAAATGTTTGCCATAGGATTCTGAATTTCAAATTCCGTGCCCAAACTGAGTTACAAAAATAGGAAGACTACTATGCAAGTATAGCAAGTCCTCAAACATTATACTTAAATATTGATGCCTCATAAAGTTGATTCGATAAAAATCACTTTGCAGCCAAGGCCCCTGTCTGTGAAGAGTTTGTATATTTTGCCTGTGTATGTGTGAGTTTTCTCTGGGTGCTCTGGTTTTCTCCCACATTCTAAAGATGTGGTTAGTTTTCCTGGCTGAATGGGTGAGTGAATGAGTAACCTGAGTGTGTGGGAGTATCTCTGTAAGTGTACCCTGCAATGGAATGTAGCCTCTCCAGGGTGCGTTCCAACAGTGTACTCTGAGCTTCCTTGATGGGCTCCTGCCACCGCAAACCTGAACTGGAATAAGAAGGTAAGTAATTATCTTGTTTTTATTAATCTTTCTTACATGTATGTAAAGCTCACATTTTTTCAATGTTTAATACTAGAAGTGCTTTGTTCTTCATTTAGCAGTTTTGCAATGATTTTATGACCAGAAATATGCCACAGAAATTAAACTCTTGTTTATATCAATTAGCCTATGGTAAAACTGGTTTTCTTATACATAATTTCACTTAAAGCTGCAGTTTCCAAAAACCTATCAATAATGTTAAATAAGCACTTACTATATACTTGTTTATGTTAGTAATGCATTTCAAATTGTGGGAAAATGAGCAATTACCTTGCATAAATTGCTGGAAAAGTAATTAATTATATGGGAAAATAATTTATATTTATATTTTTCATAATTGCTAAATTATGTTAAAATTGAATTAAAGCACTAGACGCGGTTGGTAGATGGTTTTTCAAGTGTATTGGTAATGTTTTATATTCTAGTTCATATTTCTCCCTCCTCAAGACGATTGTGGTAGATTGAATACTAGTCCCAAAAGACATCCAGGTTATAATTCCTGGAACCTGTCAAAATCACTATATATGGTAGCTAGTACTTGCATATGTGATTATGTTAAGGATCTTGGCATAGGTAGATCATTCTGAATTATCAGGGTGGGTCCTAAGTGGAATCACTGTCCTTATAAGAGGAAGGTAGAGGGAGATTTGAAGACTGAAGAGGAAAAATCCATATATGTAACATAGTTTGGGAGCCATGAGCCAAGAAATGAAGACAGCTTCCTGAAACTGAAAAAGTCAAGGAAACAGATTTTCTTTTAGATCCTCCAGAGCGAGCTCTGTGGTGCTGAAAACCTGATTTCAATGAGGTAAACCTTATCATAAACTTCTGGCATCTAGATCCACAAAAGAATAAATTGGTGGTGTTTTAAGCCAAAGAATTCCTTATAATTTGTTATAGCAGTTACAGAAACCAATGCAATGATATTTACAGAGGTCTACATCATACCATTATAAAGTTCCATGTATATGGAATATTTATAAGTATATATTAATAAAAAGTAATAAAATATAGATGGCTATGTTTTGCTGATTGAAGAATGAGGAAACCCCAAAGAGATGTAAAATTAATCAATGCAACTACTGGATAAATTTACCTGCACAAAAATTAAGTATTTACATATTTTAATAACAATAAAATTAAATATAAACAAAGCCAAAACTGCAATAAATATTGATACTCTATTTAATAAGTGTGAACATGTGGTATTTGCCTTTCTGTTTCTGCATTATTTTGCTAAGAATAATGGCCTTCAGGCACATCCTTGTTGCTGCAAAGGACATAATCTTATTCTTTTTTTAATGGCCACATAGTATTTCATGGAGTATATATGCCACATTTTCTTCATCCCATCTATATAGGGGCATTTAAGTTGATTCTACATCTTGGCTATTCTTAATAGTGCTGCAGTGAACATACATGTACATGTGTCTTTATGACAGAATTATTTACGTTCCTTTGGGTTTATACCCAGTAATGAGATTGCTGGGTCAAATGGTATTTCTACCTGTTGATGGGAGTGTAAATTAGTTCAACCATTGTGGAAGACAGTGTGGTGATTCCTTAAAACCTAGAGGCAGAAATAAATGTGTCACAGAGATTCTGGTACGTTGTGACTTTGTTCTCATTGGTTTCAAAGAACATCTTTATTTCTGCCTTAATTTCGTTATTTACCCAGTAGTCATTCAGGAGCAGGTTTTTCAGTTTCCATGTAGTTGTGCGATTTTGAGTGAGTTTCTTAATCCTGAGTTCTAATTTGATTGCACTGTGACCTGAGAGACTGTTTGTTACGATTTCCAGTCTTTTGCATTTGCTGAGGAGTGTTTTATTTCCAATTATGTGGTCAATTTTAGAATAAGTGTGATGTGGTGCTGAGAATAATGTATATTCTGTTGATCTGGGGTAGACAGTTCTGTAGATGTCTATTAGGTCCACTTGGTCCAGAGCTGAGTTCAGGTTCTAGATATCCTTGTTAATTTTCTGTCTTGTTGATCTGTCTAATATTGATAATGGGGTGTTAAAGTCTCCCCCCAACAGTGTAAACGTTCCCCTTTTTCTCTACAACCTCACCGGCATCTGCTGTTTTTTTGACTTTTTAATAATAGCCATTCTGACTGGCATGAGATGGTATCTAAATTGCTTTGGGCAGTATGGCAATGTTAATCATGTTCATGATTTCTATTCATGAGCATGGAATAATTTTCTATTTGTTTGTGTCATTTTGAATTTTTTTGAGCAGTGTTTTGTAGTTCTCCTTGTAGAGATCTTTCACCTATTTGGTTAGCAGTATTTCTAGATTTTTTTTGTGTGGCAATTGTGAATGGAATTGCATTTCTGATTTGACTATCATTGATGTATAGGAACGCTAGTAATATTTGTACATTAATTTTGTATCCTGAAACTTTGCTTTAGTTGTTTAATAACCTGAAGAAGATTTTGAGCTGAGACTATGGGGTTTTTTAGATATGGAATCATGTTGTCTGCAAACAAGGATGGTTTGACCTCTTCTTTTTCTATTTGGAAGCTGTTTCTTTCTTTCTCTGACTGATTGCTCTAGCCAGAACTTCCAATACTATGCTGAATAGGAGTGGTGAGAGAAGGAATCTTTGTCTTGTGGTGGTTTTCAAGGGATTCAATTTCTTCCTGGCTGAGGGATCAATTTCTTCCTGGCTCAATTTATTCTTTGGCAGGGAATAAATGTCCAGGAATTTTTGCATTTATTCTAGATTTTCTAGTTTATGTGCATGGAGGTGACCATCATATTCTCTGGTGGTTCATTGTATTTGTGGGGTCAGTGAGAATATCCCCTTTTTCATTTCTAATTGTGTTTATGTGAATCTCCCTCTTTTCTTCTTTATTAATCTAGCTAGCACAGCCTATTTTATTATTTTTAAAAATCAACTCCTGTATTCATTGATATTTTTAGTGATTTGTGTGTGGGGGGTTGGGGGGCAGGGTCTTAATACCCTTCAGTTCAGCTCTGATTTTGGTTATTTCTTGTCTTCTTGTCTTCTACTAGCTTGGGGTTGGTTTTATCTTGGTTTTCTAGTTCTTTTAGTTGTGATGTTATGTTCTTATATAGAGATTTTTAAAATATTTGTATGTGGTCATTTAGTGGTGTAAATTTCCCCCTTCACACTGCCTTAGCTACATCCCACAGATTCTGGTATGTTGTATATTTGTTCCCACTGATATCAAAGAAATTCTTGATTTCTGCATTAATTTCATAATTTATCCAAAAGTCATTCAGGAGCAGAATATTCGATTTTCCATGTAATTGTATGGCTTTGACTGAATTTCTTTGTCTTGATTTCTAATTTGTGCTATGGTATGAGAGATTGGTTGTTATGATTTCAGTTCTTTTGCATTTGTAGAGGAGTGTTTTATGTTTGATTATGTGATGAGTTTCAGAGTATGTGCCATGTGACAATGAGAAGAACGCATATTCTGTTATTTTTGGGTGGAGAGTTCTGTAGATCTCTATCAGATCCATTTGATCCAATGCTGAGTTCAGGTCCTAAATATCTTTGTTGATTTTCTGCCTCAATAGTTTGTCAATTATTGTCAGTTGGGTGTTAAAATCTCCCACTATTATTGTGTGGGTGTTGAAGTCTCTTTGAAGGTCTCTAAGAACTTGCTTTATGAATCTGAGGGTCTTGTGTTGGGTGCATATATATTTTGGATAGCTAGGTCTTTTTGTTGAATTGAATCCTTTATCATTATGTAATGCTGTTTTTTTGTCTTTTGATCTTAGTTGCTTTAAAGTCTATTTTGTAAGAAATTAGCATTGCAATCCTGCTTTTTTTCTGCTTTTCAATTACCTAGTAGATTTTTCTTTATCCCCTTATTTTGGACCTATAGGTTTCATTGCATGTGAGATGGGTCTCTTGAAGACTGCTTATTAAGGGTTTTAGTTTTTTACTCAGCTTGCCACTCTGTGCCTTTTAATTGGAGTATTAATCCATTAACACTCAAGGTTAGTATTGATATGTGTGTGTTTGATCCTGTCATCATGATGTTAGCTGTTCATTAAGCAGACTTGTTTGTGTGGTTGCTTTATAGTGTCACTGATCTATGCACTTAAGTTTGGTTTTGTAGTGGCTAGTAATATAGTCTTTCATTTTCATATTTAATGCTTTCTTTGAGAACTCTTGTAAGGGTAGTCTGGTGGTAACAAATTCCCTTAGCCTGTGCTTGTCTGAAAAGGATCTTATTTCTCCTTAGCTTATGAAGATTACTTTGGCCAGATATGAAATCCTGGGTTGGAATTTATTTTCCTTAAGAATGTTGAATATTGGTGCCAATCTCTTCTGGTTTATAGGATTTCTGCTGAGAGGCCCATTGTTCGTTTGGCGGACTTCCCTTTGTAGGTGACCTGGCCTTTTCTCTCGTTGCCTTTAACATTATTTCTTTCATTTCATCCTTGGAGGATCTGATGATTATGTGTCTTGGGATAACCTTCTTGTGAAGTGTCTTACTGGGGTTCTTTGCATTTCTTGAATTTGAATGTTGGCACCTCTAGCAAGGTTGGGGAAGTTCTCATGGATGAAATCCTAAAATATATTTTCCAACTTGATTACAATCTCCCAGTCTTTTTCAGGGACACTAATGGGACATTCTGTCTCTTTACGTAATCCCATAATTCTCAGAGGTTATATCCATTTACTTTCATTTTTCTTCTCTGTTCTTGTCTGATTGTCTTTTTTTAGAAAACCAATCTGCAAGCTCTAAGATTCTCTCCTAGACTTGGTCTATTCTTGGTGTATACTTTTAATTGCATTATGAAATTATTGTCATGTGTTTTTCCATTCTATCAGGTAAGTTGCATTCTTTTCTATACTAGCTATGTTGTCAGCTCCTACACTGTTTAATTGTGATTCTTAGCTTCCTTGGATTGGGTCTCAATGTACCCCTGCATCTCAATAATCTTTATTCCTATTTATATTATATATTCTGCCATT